CACAACATATGTCACTTCCACGTGGCCGAGAGGGCTTTTAGGGAGGGGTGAAAGCGCAACCAACAAAATAATCGTATTTTGTCAATTATGCTGTTTTCATAATCGTCGCAAGCCATAATCGTAATCGCGATTTTAAAATGCGATTAATTGCACAGCCCTATTGTATATGTAAACCTGCTTGTGATTCTGATTGCTTCCAAATCACGAGTTCAACATCCTTGTCATCCTGTGTGGCCAAACAGGTTGGTTCACCCACATTATAAAAGCTAGCCAAGAAGATGCATTTGGATTTACGGTCTGCTGTGGTTCTGCGTTTTATATACAGTATATGTTAGATGTTTGTTGCCTACTCATACAATGGGTATGTGTGAAATTGTATCTATGTCTCGGGCATTGAAAAAGTACAACTGACAGTGTATTGTGTTTCCAGAGGCTGTGTCACAAATGCTACAGATAATCCTCTGTGGACAGTGTTTGTTATACCTACTTCCTACCCGATAAATAGTCCCCATGATCTTAGCAAAGTTGTGGGCAGGCCAGGGGTAGATATCTCTGTTAGATTCTCTCCATTTCTCCCATAACATTTAGCTTTCAGTAACATCATCTGTCTCCCCCTCTCTCTGTGTTTCTCTGCAGAGACATCATGTCCATCTACAAGGAACCTCCACCAGGGATGTTTGTCGTCCCTGATCCTCAAGATATGACAAAGGTAAAAGGCCAGAGCCCCAGGACATGAACTGTGTTTTTTTCCTTGATGTATATCAGAGACAACTGGATGTAGTCAGTTGTTGTCTTGTTGTTTGCAGCATCTCTCTCTCCCTTTTATACACCTCTCTAAATATCCCTTATTTATTTCACTTCCTATAGATCCATGCTCTGATCACAGGCCCGTTCGACACACCGTACGAGGGAGGCTTCTTCCTCTTCCTGTTCCGCTGTCCCCCCGACTACCCCATCCACCCACCGCGGGTCAAACTCATCACCACCGGACACAACACTGTCCGCTTCAACCCCAACTTCTACCGCAATGGCAAGGTCTGCCTCAGCATCCTTGGGTGAGTCAGGATTCAGTCCTGAAACACTTTGCATTTGTCTCTTATCCAAGGCCTTATGATCAGCCCTGCACCTAACTTTTTTGCCCTGGTTCTCAAAGGAGCACCTGGAGATGTTGCTTGGTGCGCATCCTCTGTATCACAAATGTCAACGGGGGGGGGGTGCTACGCGAAATGTAAACGGGGGGGTGGTGCGCGCCCGTGCCTCGCAGCAGGGAGCGCATGAAGCAGACCCTTCACGCGTCTTACCAGTTCTTATGCAACTCGCAAATATCTCTCTCTTTTCTATCTCTCTCTTCTCTCATGTCTCTCTGTCTCTCTCAATGTTGGTGCGCAAATGCGCTTTTTTCAAATGATCCGGTGCTCCTTTTTTGGCGGTGGGTGCGCATGCGCACCTGCACACCAGTTATGTGCAGCCCTGCTTATGATATCATCCACAGCAGGCATTTGAATATATACAATTGCTAATCACCACTTTCATTGGATTCTGAGTGGTTTAGTCAACTTTGTTACACCTACAATGTTCCCGGTCAAAAATGGCCTCCATATGAAATGAACGGGGGGGGTTCTAGATTCTGTTCATCCATCAGATAGTAATAATAATAATAATAATAATAACTTTTATTTATATAGCGCTTTTCAATAACCCAAAGTCGCTTACAAAAAAAATTAAAAGTACAGAAAGGGGGTGAACAGGCAGAAGACAACATATTGGACAAGAAAATTGAACATGAACATTACATGAACAGGCAAAGGACAACACAGGGGGGGAGCAAGCATAGGACAACGAGCAAAAGACAACATAATGGAAAAGAGGAAAGAAAAAGTTGATGAATGTATGAATAATGAATAGTATGTATGAATAGTAGGCCCACAGTCTCAGACAACCACGTTCATTTTGGAATATATTTACAGTGTCTATTTTTTGTATATTCAGTGCAGTTATTCACGTAAACCAGAATTCTGAGACATTGTTTTCAGCTTAAAAGGGTGTTATATTTCATTTGGTGATGATTAACATTATTTGTGTTAATGTCAGAGCAGTTTAAACAGACCGTCAAATTTGATCAGGATCACCAAAGTAAAGGGGGAGAAATGAACACGACAGGAGAATTAAGGATGGTTCGTCAAAGTGACAAACGATAAGTGTGTTACTGTTATTATTTGTGTGTGAAGGACATGGACAGGCCCAGCATGGAGCCCAGCCCAGAGCATCTCCTCTGTCCTCATCTCCATCCAGTCTCTGATGACGGAGAACCCCTATCACAATGAGCCTGGATTTGAACAGGTACTGAAAATGATGCTGCATTGGTTAGCAATCAAGTGGTGGAGTGATGACATATTTTGTAGGTCGTCCCTGAAGTTAGGAAGGGCTCGCTCGACCAAAAGCAATGGTTGATTTTTCTATTGGATTTCGGAATATTGCAGAAAATAAGATCTGTGGCAAACACAAGTTTATGATAGTTACACATTTTGTTCAACAGGATAATCTCCTCATATTAACACCAATTAAATGAATAAATGCAATCGCCAGAAGTAAAAATCTAACGTTGGGCTATAAAACAGTCTCACTTCACGTCACCAGGGTTATAGTTTTGGGGTAAGGTGGTTTAGTAGGCTCATTTAGTCAATTGTTAGCAAACACCTTTGTTAAGACTCATAAAAGCTGCATTCATTCATCACCAGTGGGGTATATACTGCCGTATTTCATGTGGTAGAATGAAACCTTAAACTCTGTAAGCTTGCATTTCAGACTAGTAATAGAAGACTAAGGGGTTGTTGAGTTAAAAGCGAATCTGAACACACCGAAGTCGGAATAACGATTTTCCAATTGTGGAGACAGGACAATCCGAGGAGCACATTTACTATTGGCACTGGTGTACGTCTCTGTGTGCCACTCTATATAGTGTTGTAAAGAAAATATACTGTAATGTTTTATTTGTTGGTCTGTTTGTGTGTGTGTCTTTCAGGAGCGTCACCCAGGGGACAGTAAGAACTACAACGAGTGCATCCGCCATGAGACCATGAGGGTGGCGGTGTGCGACATGCTGGAGGGGAAGGTCCCCTGCCCTGATGCTCTTTGGTAAGAACTGCACTATTGTTTCATTTGACTCTCCTTCTCCTTCTTTTTCTCCCCTCTCCTGACATTCTCTCCTTCCCTCTATCAGCTGATTGGTGTTCATGTGTTTTTTAGGAGCGTGATGGAGAAGTCCTTCCTGGAATACTATGATTTCTACGAGGGAGTTTGCAAAGAGAGACTGCATCTACAGGGACAGAACATGCAGGTGACTATGTTTCTTACTATCCATTTACAACTACATATTTCATTTTCTATTTCTAGATAACATGAGATGAATACTCATGGGGCAACGACCTAGCCGTTTCCATGCACCTTTAGTATAAAACAATAATGAATATCTAAAAAAACAAATGGTTACGTTAGACTTAAAGTTATTTATGTTGTTATTTTTTCCTTTCTGCCACAGTGTCTTTCTTTTATAATGATAGTAGCAGTTGCCAAAATCAAATCACAAATGTTTGAAGACACCCTTTGAACAACGTGATCTATTCTGAGTTGAGGAGTTGTGGATCCGCAACTTAGTTTTGAAAAGTTATCAAATTGCCCCATCCTAATCATAAGATTTATAGAAAATGCCCAAAACTCAAGTGTTGCATCAGTGCTCAAGACCTCGAAAACATAATAAATTGCGATTATGTGCACTGCTATTGCAATTGAGATATGATTTGCAATATGAGAGAGAATGTCCATTTTCAAAACACTATTCACATTATCATTAAGAAAATATATTTAAATGATCATGACATGATTTTTGTACAATTGTTGCTTTTACCAAATGTTGCCCATACTGTTATTTGGATATTGCTCTACATTGTGTGACTTTGACTTATTGTTCAGCCATATTATTTTATTTAATACAAATATTTGACCTTTTTATTTTACTCTAGCTTTTATTAGACCCTTAACGTTAACTTATATTTTTGTAAATACCTTCATTTTATTTGATATTTTGTGGATATTCGTAAAAAAAAAAATGTATTCTATATTTGAATTATTTCTTTCATTTATTTTATTTAGAGATGTAGCAACTGTCACTAAACCCAATTTCCCCTGGGATAAATATTCAGATTTAAAAATAAATAAATAATAGATTTGCATGATGTAAACAGAGGGTAGTGAACTCATCAGGACACATCCCTGTGCCAGAGGTGGGAGAAGAACTCGGATCTTTACTCAAGTAAAAGTACAACTATTAGAGTGTAGGAATACTCTGTTACAGTTAAAGTCCTGCATTCAAAATGATACTCAATTAAATGTACAAAAGTATTATTATCAAATATAGTTAAAGTACCAAAAGTAAAAGTAGTGATTGTGCAGATTGGTCCATTTCAGAATAATATATATGATATGTTTTATATAGGGCCGGGACTTTAACGCGTCAATTAAGATTAATTAATTACACAAAAATTAACGCATTTTAATCGCACTTATTTTTGCACCGCGGAACGTTTCTCACTGGATGAGTTTCAGGGGTACCGATTATACTGGAGCACCAACTAACGTTCATGACTTCAGACAACAACAAACCACAGTGAACAATAGTCAAACGTGAACGAAGAAGCTGATGAGACCGCTTTGGTTGGCCCCGTGGATGGGACATTTTGTTTTAAAAAACGGACGGATGGAAGAGTCGATAAGAGCACGGTTGTTTGCAAATTATGCAAAAAGCAGCACATCTAGCCTCAAGTATCACCTCAATGCAAAACATATAGCAGCTAGCGTGGAAGCTAGCGTGGACGTTAGCCCGACTCGGAGTACAAGGACCCACACCCAATTCGCGTTGATCAAACAGTGGCCTATGCAACAGAGAGTATTTTATTTTTCATCAGGATATTGGAAGAATAGGAGGGATTGAGGTCAATCACTGGCTACTTTTTTATTTTATTTTAAATGGTACACTTTATGTTGAACCATTTATTACGTTGTTGGTGCAACTGGTACTTTATGTTGAACTGTNTTCCTCCGTGGTTCAGTGCTGATCGTTTCACCATGGAGGAAAGCACTTCAAAAATTGCGGCATTTGTACAGCTCCTTATGGGTAGGCCTACTGCAATTTGTGAAGTGCTTTCCTCCATGGTGAAACGATCAGCACTGAACCACGGAGGAAAGCAGCAGAAAGTCACCTGGAGATAAAGAGAGCGGGGCTGCGTTGCGTGCATGGCTTCCTTCTGCAGGTAACGGGGAGACGCGCTCTGGCGGCGGTCTCGTTCAGGATCCGAAAATACAATTTAAATATTTTGCACACTTATTCCACTTATTCCTAGTGTGCCACTGGTTACGGTGCCGCGTGTCAGGGGTTGCCGACCCCTGACCCAAATAATCGAGATTATGATTTTTGACATTTTTGACATTTCTTTATGCGGATTTGTGCTTTCTTATGATGTCATCAACAGCTGCTGTGTGTCAGCTTCTTGAGGCCTATGTTGCATACTGAATGCAGAAGTGTTTACAGTAACAAACTTCTAGGAATGAAACACTTTTTGCAAAAGCACAAACATCCAGGAGAGGTGCAGGACAGAAGAACATGTAAAATAAGGAACAAATAAACTCCTCACATTAGAAAATGCTTAAATTGAACGTTTAATAAATCACCACTGTCTTTAAGATATACAATTAAGCCTGCAGTGCTTACTGCATTCAATTATGTTTTTATATGAACTATTTTAAATATAATGAATACTCCCTGCACTCTGCACCTATGTTGCTTTCATCCTGGGTTATCTAATATTATAGTATACTCTTCATTCATGAAGAAGGACGCTTCTCCATTTTGTGACTGGTCAAATGTCACTTTATCGAGTTGATAACCAGCGTCGTAGGACCGTTTAGCGAGATCTCGTCTGGTTATTTAAGGCAGATAACTAAAAGATATCCACGGTATGTTGAACTGGCTTCTTAGTACAAGCCTTATGATGCTACTTACCCTAACCATTCATATAAACAATGGATGTTAATCGGACAATTTGTTACTTAGCATTGTCATGCAGAGTTAAAACGTATTTGCATATATAATTGAGTTGCAAAATAACACGTTATAGCTGGCATTACATAGTAAGGATTGAGAACAAGCTAAGTACAATCACCCAGTTAGGTAGCTAAGTTAGCCTGCTATTAGCTTTTAGTTTTAGCCAATTGTTATCTGAGGATTATACGGAAAGACAAACCGCACTTACTTTATATATCCACCGCTGGTCAGACAAATCCTGCCGTTGATATCCAACGGTATGAGTTTCTTCTTAACAATGCCTAAAGATGAAATAGCTTCTGATAACTGTGTGTCTCAACGTTGTGGAGTCTGGTTGTTGACATGTGTAAAGCGAAGCGATGTTGAAGCAGCAGCAGCGGCTTCCCGCTCTGGAAGAGAAAACAACTTCCGCCGACGTCATATCACTGCTACCAATCAGATGCTGCGGAAGCTGCAGATGGTCCTGCCCCTCCTTTCACGTACCCCCCCCTTCCTCCTTTCCTTTTTCTCCTCTCTTGTTTTCTTCTTCTTCTTCTTCTTCTTCTTCTTCTTCTTCTAGGCGCAGTTTCTCTTGTTTCCCTTTCTCCTTTCCATAGTCTTGTACTTTTCCTTTATTTTTTTCCAAAATATTGGCAGGTAATGATTGAACATTTGAATGTATATTATTTAATTAATGCACTGCCTTGGATTATGCTTTGTCTGCCAGCTGTTCCGCCATTTCTGCTGCATGTTTCTATTGTTTGAAAGCCTTCAGAAGGGCCTGTTATTGGCTGCTGCTGAGGGGAGATAAATGAGTGGGAGGATGAGACTGAGTGCAGATGTCTTTGGCTAATAGCCGTCTCCCAGGCAATCTCTACAGTCCCAGTGGACACAGGCTCATGGAGAGATGCTAATGTCCCTGCCTCACATTGTTGGCTTTAATCAAACCATGGAGCGGGATCAGCAGAGTGGCCTACGGTAGCAGTGAATGAGCCTAAAGCATGAATGATGTATGATGGGTGTAGGCCATTGATTTTTTTTGTTTCAGCTGTCAAAAAATGATGGTGAATCACAAAGCAAGGATGTTGTCTTTAAGAGACTCAGGAAAAAACAATATTAATTTAAATTGTGTACAATTTTCAAGTCCCCTACCTCAGATCTAATAAAAGCAGGTGACACTTCTGTCTGAGGATCAGTCAATGTTCCATTATAGCTCCAATCCATATTGTTCCAGGCCCCAGGATTTATGTTATGGACCTAATAACCCCCACCCTATCTATCCAATATCCACCCTCCCCCTGCTTCTGTCTCCCCCCGCCCTGCAGGCAGGTACATCAGCCCTCTGATTCGTGTGTCCTCATTGTGACTCAGCTCCTTTATGAGAGCAAACAGAGCATCATTACAGAAGCAGCAGCCATGCTTTCCAACCCGGAACAAGGAGTGTCTGTAAACGTGAAGTGGGTTAGATATTTTCTGCACTTCCTGAGGAGAATCCTTTTTATTTGGCTATGTTTGGCACGTGTTTAACATATTTTTGAGGATCATTTTCCTTTTTCTTTTGTGGCTGTGAGGACTATTGTGCTTTGACCTGGAGGCTTCATTTGAATGATTGGATATGTTTGCCAGCATCATGAAAAGGACTCTAAAGGGTGGATGATGTTTGTGTTGCTTCCTAATGACCTTTTTAACCTGATTACGCAGGGGCGGGTCATTTTACTGCACATTAAATGAAAAATGTGTGCTTTTCTACAATGATTTCCTGGCTAGTTTTAGATCAATTCTGTTTTCTGGCTGAGACACAATTGATCTCTTTTGTTTACTGACTGACTGACTCCCTATAGAATGTATTGTGTGATTGACCGGCCGACAATGAACTTGATATTTCAGTAAACACTGGCTGATTGCTTTAAATTCATTCACTGGCTATCTGAGCTGCTTTTATTCCCTGACTGGCTGCTTATTTTACTTTTGCCTGCCTGGCTGCCAAGCTGATTATTTAACACGCCATAATTCCTGTTTTTCTGACTGGCTTGGAGTAGCATCATATGTGTCCCCCCGATTTGTTATTATATGGATTTGAAGGATGAAGGATGAGAAGAAGATCAACATCCTAAAGCTCAAAGAAGAAATTACAAGACACAAGGAGCATCAGAGAGAAAGGAGGAGACACAATTCACAGGAGAACATTGGATTATAGTGAGCAGAAGGAGGGGGTGATTGTCGGGAAAGGAAGGGTGACGAACGGAGGCGTGGCAGCGGAGAGAGAGAGCGGCGAGAGAGAGAGAGACAGGAGGGGAGGAGGGTGGATGCGACCCACACCCTGAGATGCTGAGCTGGCTGAGAGAAGACGAGATGTCGGTCCAGGAGCTGTTGCAGAGGGTGCAGTGTGTCATCACTCATGTTGGTGAGTCCTCACATTCCTTTTTTCTGATGTTAAGGTTAGAATGAGATGAGTTATAGCCTCCGCTGGGGGAATCACACAATAGAACCTGCTTGTAGGGTGGAAGCTGCGTTATAAGGTGGTGGTGTGGTTTAATGGAAACCCTTGAATTGATGGAAAATGTGAGGAGAAACAGAGCAGATGAAAGCCATGCAGGGTCTCCATCCTCTCATCAGGACCGCTGAGGACAGGGGTGGGGGGGGGGGCTATCATCATATTCAAAGCTCCATCTATGATTTGAATTCACTGTGTGGTTATTCTCTATTGCTCATGAACTGTTGATGAGTTGCATGTGCCTGAGTGAATGTCTGCAGATTGATGTGCTTCATTTTGAATGATTTACAAGAAAATGTACAGAGACTACATTTAGGTACATGGTTATAGTTTGGAAACATGTATGCATTTGAATGGCCAATCCTGTTAAAGCATTTGTTTTTCACAAGATTCACAAGGTCAATATATTAAAGATGTTTAATCCCATGAAGCACTTCCTATCCTACATCACCTTTTCTCTTTCTTGTTTTCTCCTTACATCTTTCTTTTCCTCTTCTTTCTTTTCCTATTCATTCTCTCCATTGCTACTTTGCCTTTTCCTTCCCCTCTCCACCATTCCTCCCATCAGCCCCTTCTACCCATTGGTTTTACTTCCCTGCCGTCTCCCTTTCCTCTCCTGCTTCTGTATTCTTTCATTCTGCTCGTTTACTATTCAGGATCCGGGTCATTTCCTTCCCCTGCTTGTCGGGAAGTAGGTTATTGTGCCACGCTGGAAACTGTCGCACTCCTCCAACACTGCACTTCCTGCATCACATAGCTATGGGAGTGTGGGGCAGGGGGGTGGAGGAGGGCTGCAGAGAGTAACTATGGAAACTGTGCTAGCTTCTGCAGAGCAAGGGGACTGTAATCGATGTATCAAGAGCCAGGTTCATGTGGGATGGTGCCGTCAATGTTTGCATCATTTGTGGCTGCATAAAGGTGCTGATTAAACAGGATATCTTTTTCTTGCTGTGGATTTGTGTATTTCTCTCTTAGATTATATTCTTCATATTCATATTCTGAATGCCCAGCCATTAGGAGAATTAAATGTACATGAGAACACATAATAAAAATCCAATGCACACAAACACATTCATTCATCAGGTGTTGTTTTAGTTGTCATGGAGTCATAGATATTGATGTCTCTTTTCTAAGACTTTTTGGGGGGTTTCTTATCGACAAACTGTATGTTGGGTTAAAGCTGAGTTCGTTTTTGACCTTGAATATGACCGCCAGAGGTGGGAGGAGTACTCAGATGTTCTACTTGAGTAAGGTTAGATGTACCAGAGTGTATCAATACTCTGTTACAGTAAAAGTCCTGCATTCAAAATGTTACTCAAGTAGAAGTACAAAAGTATTAGCACCAAGATATACTTAAAGTACCAAAATTAAAAGTACTCATTATGCAGATTGGTCCATTTCAGAATAACATATATGATATTTTTTCTAATGATGGATCATGAAAGTGTTCTCAAAGCTGGTAAAGGTGCAGCTAGTTTGAATGACTTTGTATACTGCAGGGTAGCTTGTGGATTTACTCCAGGAGGAACTAAAGTCTGATTCAACACTTGATTAGATTTCACAACATGTTTGCGACTTTGTAGAAGAACAAAGCAGCAATAAATTGTAATACTAAAGCAAAGGACAAGTATCTCAAAATTATACTTAAGTACAGTACTTGAGTAAATGTAATTACTTAAGTTACTTTATATCTCTGATGACCACTGACAAAACCATCTCATCACAAACTTCATAAGTAGTTTATTTTCCTGATTTTGAGCTGGTCTTTCCTAGAAAAGCTTAACATGCAAAAAAAAACGCATACTGATGATAATTAGGTGATAAGGATTCACATCTCCAGAACTCTAAGTAGTTCAGTTTTCACAATGTGAAACAACCACACCAAAACTCCATGTCTTTTATGAATGCACCAAATTATTTGGTAATGTTACATCGTGGCTTGGTTGTAGACATATTTCCAGAAAAAGCAGCGGGACATATTTGGAATCTTTGGAAACTTTGAAACTTAAACGGTGCAAACGTGCTACAACAGCGGAAAACCATTCCATTAAGAAAAATGCCATGCAGTTTTAAAAACGATACGGATGTAGAAACACAATCGACACTGTTGTTGGAACTTAAATAAAATGGGTTATTTTAACAATGTAATCACATGATTCTTTCTGGTATTATTGCAGATCTGCTCTAAGCTAGCTAGCTAACCTAGTCCTTTCAAATATACTGACGAAACACTTTTAAGTCTGAAACAGGCTTACTGTGCCAACATGTCAGTTGGCCAAATGTATAATTCCTGAACATCAACAAGAGCTCAGGTTATTGAATCAAGTTTGTGAATGTTTTGTATATGCTGCACATGTATTGACAAGTTGGTGAATGTGTTTTGGC